AATTTTTAATTTCCTCTTTTTCATTTAATTTGTAGGCAATTGCAACTTTACATGAGAATGAAAGAATATTGTATGGTATAGAGAAAAAAGCTGCAAGTAGTGAAAACGAGAGCAAATAGTTAACATTAAAAGAGAAAAAATCACTGATCTTGATGGAAATTTAAAAAATGGTTTTTGAAAATGAAGAGAGCTAAATAAGAAGCATTTAGTAGACTGTATGGAATCTAAAGTTGCAGTGATTAAATGATTTGAGATTAAACAAATGAGGGAAGGCTGAAAGGCGTATCTTAGAGATTTATATGGGAATGATAATGATAGGTTGAAAAATGAAATTTCCTATCTCGGGCCATTAATTTCTTTAGCATAGTATTTCTTACTTCTTTTCTACAATCTGCATAACTCATAAAGGGACAGGATAATATGAATGTATATATTTATGTATGTAGAAGTGAAAGGAAAGCTACAGGCAAGGGATTAATTATCTTCATTGAAAGAACAGGTGTGTATATGTACATCTGTGTGTAAATAATATGTATCTCAAGTTGCCAGGAAAATCATCTCTGAGATTCAAATGGAAGGGCAATCAACTCTCATTTCAAAGTACACAGAAAATATAAACTGAGATAATATGCATCCTGAATCAAATAGGACAATATTAGCCACTTAGTTTTTCATTTCTTCAGTTCAGTTAATGAGTTATTATGGTATCATTCACAGTACTCATACCACTATTAAATCTTTCATTATTGTGTTTATTAATACTCATTTATTATAACAATCAAAGTGCTTTTATTCAAAGTGCTTTATCTTGATTGCTTTTCAAATATTCTGGTTTTTGGTGGTGTTTGAGTGGGTTGTTGTTTGGTGGTGTTTGAGTGGGTTGTTGTTTGCCAACAGAGATGCTAAAATTGATTTCTCTTCTAGTCATTTTAGGTAATGGCACGCCTTCATATAGCTACAGAGATTTAGTGTCATTCCTGTTTCTCTAGACCAGTATCCAATTGGTACTGCCTGCCTTAGCTATTAAAATCATCATCAACAACACCATCATCCCCCAGTGAGGCCCTACTTGACATGATTCTGGAGCTTGCATGCTCTGAAGATGAGAGCTATGGCAGAGGTTCAATTGACATGTCTAATCAGAGGAGCTAGATGAAAAGTGTCTCTCCCATAAACAATATGGTGAGACATAACTTATAGAAACCTATCCCAGATCAGTCATCACTCGAGTAAACAAGGATCATACTAGGTACTGGAGTTCCTAGACATCTGGTGACAAACGGGCTACAAAACTCAGGACTGTTGGCTGAGCAACAAGGACAGCAGCTCCACGACTACTAGAAGAAAAGTTGCTCACTCATAGATTGAAAACAAAGAAATGATGATTTGCAATTACCAATCAAGTTCAATGTAAAGATGATACCTGAAATGAATGCACCAATTCTAGAAAAAACATGAGATTCAAAAGTAACATAACAAGGCTAGCAGTTCAGCATTGGTCTATTATACAAAATAAAGTATTCACAGAAGTAGAATTGGAAGAATTGCAAAGATCTACCCAGGGCAAAGGAATAGAAATAAAAAGTACAGACAAACAAGGGGGAGTCAGCAATAGAGGAAGTCAACATTGCTATTGAGCTATTTGCATTCCCAAACAAGGCACCCTCTCCTCTGCTTTCTCCTTAAAAACGTTTTCTATTGAAATGAAGAATAACTGAGCATCCAGAACAGTACAAAAACAACAGAATAAGCTCACTGAAGCTCATTACAAAAAAAACCAGCTAGCACAAATATTAAAAGATGCCAATACTGTACTATCAAAGATAAGCATCAGATCATTGCAAAATATAAACCAGCTGATGCACAGTCATCTGCAATTATAACTGAAGATCTTGGATGCAAAATCAACAGGGAAATAAACAACAAAAGCCAAACAGTGTCCCACCAAAATGGAAGATCAGGCTGGAAAATAAGATCAGCATTTTAAGATCAGATGTAAGTAAGCTAGAACAGATGAAAGAAACTGAAGAACAAAAAGACAAAATAATATTTGATCAAGAAATATAACCTAGAAACAAGGAAGTTCGAGGAAGAATTGAAAACAATAAAGCAGCAAATAACTGCTGTAGCAAAGAAAAACAGCAGATACAAATTGCACACCAAAGATAGAATCTCCCAATTTCAGCTGAATCAATAAAGCTTCTATCAATCCAGCAATGGAGAGACTGCAGGAAGCCAGCCAACACCTGACAAACAAGAAACAGTGCAATTCTGAGCACAGCCATGGGTCAATCCAAAGAAATACAAAGAATGCAGCTTGGATAAAGGAGGAGGAGAAAGAGGGAAAATTGAAATGAAAAAACTTGTAATAACAGCAGAAAGGGTGGGAAAAAAGGGCAAGGAGGATTAAGAATTAGTCAGTACCAGATGATTTTGGGTTGAAACATCTGACTGGTCTACACCCATTCATTCCCAAACAGTTTAACAACATTCTGCAAGGAGATGAAATTTTCCCAGTTAACATCTGGGAAAACCTATCTGATAATGAAAGGTTCAACAAAAAAGGCAGCACCAGACAACTACACACCAATTACTTTTTTCCAATAACTTACAAACTGTTAACTGGTGTGACAGCTGATACATTCCAACAACTACTCATTGAAAAGAAGTTCTTTCCACCTGAGCAGAAAGGAAATCACCCCAACAGCAGAGGAACAAAAGATCAGTTCCTAATTGACATGATGATTTTGGAAAACAGTAAGACAAGGAACAGCAACTTGAATGTAGCTTGGCTTGATTACAAGAAAGTATTCTATTCCTTGCCACATGACTGGATAATCAAACACCTAGAAATAACAGGAGCCAGTAAAAACATTAGAAGCTTTGTGCAAACCTCAATGGAATGGAAGATAGAGTTGCTGGTCAGTGGTGATATACTGGGAGAGGTTAACATCAAGAGAGGAATCTTTCAAGGACACTTACTGTCATCACTACTGTCTGTAATGAAGAAGCTAAATTGCTCTGGTATGTAGAATTCAAACAGAAAAGCATCTGCCACAAAGCACCCCAAAGCTAATAATTGTAAATAAGAAAGACAAAATAGTCTGGATAATGGACAGTGAAATATTGCAGACAGCAGAAGAGAAGAGAAAGAACTGGAGAAAATCACAAAATACAAAGACCTAGAAATAGGAGTAAATAGTGGCAAAAGAAAGCAATGATAGTACCAGTAGTAACAAGTGCCTTGGATGCAATTCCAAAAAGTTTGGACTGCCACTTGAACACCATAGCCATTCACACAATCACCATCAGTCAACTGCAAAAAAGCAGCTTTACTTGGAACAACTTATCATCCTGCGATGATACCTTTAACACCATCAAACAACGACATCTGCCTATCCCAGGTCCTCGGGAACAACTTGGATAAAAATGCCAAATCCAATCTAAACATCTGGCTAACTGTGTGACCAACCATAATAATACAATTTCTTGTTCCTGAAGGAAACAACTAATGAGATTTTCTCTGGGTGAATTGAGCAGAGGCTACATCTTCTTAGTGCCAAAGATCACTGGGGGGATGGGGTACATTTCCGTACTCTGCAGTGACTTTGATGCTTACTCAGACATCAGGACATTTCTTTTTTTAAAAAAAAAAACAACCACTTTTCAGTGAAATCTTCCCTTGGTTTTAGCAAGCATTCACACCTATCCAAGTGAAAACACTGAAATCTTGTTCGAAAAAAGTAGATAGAATGGAAATCTGCTTTTGCAGCAACATTGGCAGCAACATCTCATAATGAATATCCATTACACAGCCAAGCCTGCAATTCCCATTTTCTGCTATCTGACTGGAATCCAGAAATTATCCCATGCCAGTTTTCTTAAGCCCTGCTTAAGAAGACTGGGCGGGGGGTGTGTGTGTGTGAGGGAAACAATGCCATTAAATTCCATTCAGCTTGAGGACCAGACATTCAGTTTCTCTGCCTCATAGGAACATGAGGAATCTTGTTTTTTTTCAGGATCCATTGCTTCATTCAGAGAACTCAGGTGACAGACTTCACGAGACATCTTGGCTTTACTTTCTGTGACTTATTCTATAGTACTCATCACTCTGGCACTCTACAAACATTTGACTCATGCCATCTGTTCCTCAGGCAGAAGCCTATGACCTTCATGCTGTCCAGAAAATACATCTGTTCCCACCATTCCTTTTCCTGCACCGGCTCCCAGACCTGCTGCCCTGGATGGAGCCTCTACTGTAGATGAGGGCAGCGGCAGGAGCAATCATGACTTAGCAAGTGAAAAAAAAAATCAAGGCAAATGAAATGCCACTGTTGAGCTTTGCTTACTGGGCTCTGTTAATATTGACCTTTAGCAATACAAACCATGTTGGGGGCACTAGTCCGTTGGACTCTTTTACAGAAGAAGCAAAGAGTAAATGAAATAAATCGAAAAGGATTCTTCTAGATTCAGAGCTCAGAGCAATGAGCGCTCCCACAAAGTATGTTTGCATGGGCTGTGGATATTAGCATTTGCCTCCATATTTCTGCCCAATTGATTTTTGTCTGCTAAGATAATTTTTACAAAGAGTTCTTAAAAAATGCCTTTTGGGCCTCTTTTTTGAATATTATTTAGGAAAAAGAGAACAGGGCCCTCGTAATTCTACCTTATATGTCATAAACCCATGTTTAAAAAACTGACTGAACTGTGCTATGACTAGGAAATGTGTTTCATGTTTTGCTGCACTTTTTCTGTGTAATCCAGAGGAAGCAGCTCTCTTCTTATCAAGTACAGATGGCAAAAACAAACAAACATAAATTGGTGTGTGCAATTGCAATTGAGAAGACACAGAACGTCTGTTATCATATACAGTACAACATAGGTAAAGGCAAAAAAAAATGCTTGCTTGCTTGCATGGAGTTGGTATCTATTTAGATGGTGCATCAAGGTGTTTGTCCTTGAAAGCTGAGTTATGTACAATGGCAGTCTGCATCACCTACCATCCATGCTGTCTTCACGACGTATATTGAAGTTTTCATAGGAATCTCTGCGGATGAGTGGATCTGAAGTGTTGTAATCCACAGAGACACTTGGGCCATTCTCTAAATGTTCCATGCCTGAGAAGCAAGGATAGAGTAATTTTAGGAAGAGAGCTTTTGGTGTGGGAGCAGTGAGGAAAAAAGTAGTAACGTGATAGAGCAAAGAAGAAAAATCAGAAGAAATAAGATAAAAGGGTAGCAGGTCTAATCTATCATAGATACATCTCAGAATAAGAAAGTCAAGATCATGAAAGTCAAGATCATGAAGTCAGATTGCCCAGTTAAGCTATTGAAGCAAGGAGGAACCATATCTAGAATCGAGACAATAGCCAAAGAACTTGCCCAAGGAGTAAGGAATTATATAGATCAGTGAACAATTACACACAAAAGGGCCTCTTTGTTTACTGTAAGAACAGTGGTTATTCAGGAATGTAATGAATGGAGTATTAGTTCACCGGGCAAAGGGAAATGGCCATCTGTTTGTGAGGACTAGCGGCCCCTGGTAACTCAGCAATTATCTGCTAATATTGACTCTATTCTGGTTTTTGAATCTTTCAGTACTGATAGAGGAGAAAAATAAGGCCACCTATCCTGGCAGCAAGTTTAAAAAAACACATGTACAATCTCTGAGGCCTATAAATGGAGAGGAGTAAAAGGAAGAAAGCAAATCACTATTACAAAAAAGTAATACCTTGAATCTTCTCGGGACCATAGGAGAATACAAATTCCACCTTCCCATACTCAGGAAACCGATCATCTGATTTTTTTATTTTTTTTAAAAAAGAGAGAGAAAAGACAAAATGGTATTCAGTAGATACGTTCAAAATGTTCCAAGTTTCCATTGGGCTGGATCATGACTTGCCCAAACCAGCCTGTCCAAACTTTCAAACCACCACACATTTGTTTTGATGCATGAAATAAGACAACTGTTCTAGTTCACATTTCTAAATGTCAATTTATAGCTATACTTGGACAGATAATAATATTATGGTAATGGCCCTGCCTGCAGGACTTGTTGCACTTCATAAGAGATATTGCAGAATGTGAACAGAAGATTCTCCATTTCCTGACAGGAAAATTGACTTTAGGGTTCTCATACCAAAAAGAATTATAGCCTTCTCTTTGGCTATTCCTTCAGCGAGGATTTCAGAACTTCAGTATTTTGTCTGCCTCTTTGTTCCATTACAAGATGGCTCATCCTCAGTCAGCATCGATGGAGCCAACCCAATTCCAATTCTAAAAGGGGTTTTTATGCACCTGGTCTCTGTCCTTTCTCTGTTTCTGAGAGAAGACAACCCCCTGGGGCTCTTATTCTCTTCAAGCATGCAGATTGCAACAAGGCATAGAAGCCCTCTTTCGCTCCCCCCCTTTCAAGTGGAGTCAAGAATTTTCTTTTGGATAGCATTGCTCCTGGAATGGCTGACGGCCATACAGACATTATTTCCTCAAGTACTGATTTTTGTCCACTACTGGCAGAACAATTAGAGTAAGATCTGCTGTCTGATATTTCAGTGCTCCATAAAAAACCTGAGGAAAAAAATTTAAAAACCTCCTAGACTGTTTTTGCAGACTTCTAGATAGATACATACAATATAAAAATGACCAACTGAAGTCTCATTCAGCAAACAAAAAGAAGATAGAGATGGCAAAATAAAGGGGGGAAAACTATAGGCCTAAATACCAACTTTGGTATGTTTCAGATATGATCTAAATTAACATAATTAAAAACTACATAGAGTATCTGGGGATGACAATATAAAACAATGGAATGCCATGTAATGGTTACAACTGCAGTACATCTAAATTTGTATCTGAACTTCTCACAAGTGCTCGCTAAATAAAGTGAAATGCCTTCTAAACTGAAGATATGCTAAAAATACTGATTTTTCCTCCCAAGCACATCCTGGTGCCATAGAGTGAACTATTCTAGAAAAGCCACAACTTGATTACAATGGTCCCAATAAAAAGTGTCATGCATTTTATTACTATGTTTCACCGACTCACCCACTCACTCACTCTCTTTTCTTGAACAAAATTGTCTTTACCTTTAAAGGCATCATCCAGGTCCTCTTTATTGAAGACAATAGCCAAATCGTGAATGGCACATGTATGGAACTGCACTCGAAAGATGACATCCCGAGTCGGGCTACGGAATTCCTTGTGATAGCATTTCAGCTGCCAGTGAAAGAAGGCATAAAGGAAACAAAATGAAACATGCCATCACCCTGGGAGTCTACCTGAGAATAGGAATGATTCTAGCCACTTGCAGGAATTCTATACTTGAGCCCCTTTTGTGCTGCAAAGACATCATTTTTCTGCATTTCCCCACAAAGACAGTGAACTCTTCTTAAGTAAATGGAATGCAGACTGTAGGCTATGACACTCTTAGGCCTCCAATTCTGGAGTCTTTAAATGGGGGTGCCAGCTTTTATGATCTAAAGACCCACAGTGATAAAAATGAAAGCATACATGTTTTGATTCTTACCAAAATATCTCCTTTTAAGAGGAGTCCTGGTTCTATGGTGATACAGATGCTCGTCTGGCTATCTCCCTGCACATTGCTATAAAGAAGTAGAAAGAAGCAAAATGTGGAAGACAATCAAAGCAACTCAATGGCTAAGATTCCTTGCATCTGCCATGTCTAGGCAACAATCAAGGTGATGTCATAAAATGTCGGAACCCAGGTTTCAATTCATCGGTCCATCACTCTCCCTCAGCCCAATTTACCTCACGGGGCTGTTTGGGAGAACATATGGGAGAAATAACTGCTATACAGAACTCCTTGAGAATTTTTTTTTCTTAAAAGAACGAGCCACTCTGCTATTTTAGTGTTTCTATTTTTGTTGTGCTACATTTGCTAAATCATTTTTACTGATCCTGAAACACTGCTTAGATCTGCTGTGGTCAGCATTAGAAACGGATCCAGTAGTTACCTGTGGGCAATGGGGTAATGTTCCACAAAAATGACTTTCCAGGAATGACCTTATCAAATTTTATTGTATCTACTCTTCATGCAATCTGCTCCAGAATATACTGTGAACAGCTGGTATATCTGGAACTGGTCAGCATTTCCACTTCTAAGTTTTCTGTTATGCACACGAATACCTCAAAAGCAAGAATTTTCTTACATGCATGTGGACAAAAGTTTGCCATAATCTTCATTTCATTCAGTATCTTGCTGCTCTTTCATTGTACCAGAGCTTCACTGAGCAAATTCATTGAATAAATTCCATTTTAGTTGGTCAATATCAGCCAGAGTAAACTGTGATTGATGGCATTATGATTTAATGGTACATTTGCTGATTTGAATGGAAAGGAAAGCAATAAAGATGATTCCCTATTCATATTTTTCTTCAATAAAGGTTTGATGAAGATTGATTGCATGTATACATCAAACTGATTAATAAATAGTGGTTTTAAATTCAAGTAGATAGAAAAGGAGAACTTTAATCAGTGAAGTTATCTCTCTCTGGATAACTGTGAGCCAATAATGCTTTTCCAACCCAACCTATCTCGAAATTTAAATGATAAAATGAAGGCTAATTCTGTGTAACTATCTGTAACTCTTTAGGGGAAAGGCAATATATAAGTGTAAGCAAAATTGCATAAATAAAATAAAGCTGAAAGCTGTGAAGAGAAGAGTGGGGAAGGCTGATATAGAGCTGCTAAGTCTCCTGAGGCCCTTTATATGCTTGGTTGTAGTTGTAATAATAATAATAACAAATTTAAAAAAATGCAGCCCCCAGGAACAGCATGAGTCTCTGTGCCAGCCATAAACACTAGAGCAAAACTCAGAATAACACATGGAACCAGGTCTGCAGGATACCACCTCTACTGCAAAGCTCATGGAAATTTCTACTCTGCTTTGCATCAGAACCAAGAAGAAATCTGAGTGCTGGAAATCAAAATAATAATGTCAACTCCATTTACTAGATTCCTGATGTGTAGACCGGTTGCATTGCCTGATATATCTTGAGGAAGGGCCGGCAGCCTAGGAAACATAAAACAGACAGAGAAAAAGAGACCTTTGTTACAGATTAGTTACAGAGAAGGGAACATAAAGGGGCCAAGGCAAACAGACTCCCTGGAGGAGAAGTTTCCAGTGACAATACCCTCCCTGTAACAAACAACACCAATTTTGTGTCAGTGATAGCAGTTGTAGGAAACAGTAAAGTGTGGTCGAACAGCAGGTTTATACTTTATTTTGAGGCACAGTTTAACTATAGTGTTTAGACACAAGTTGGCTGGGCGAATTCTGGGAGTTGAACTTCACACATCTTCAAGTTGCTGAGGTTGACTATCACTGGTCTAATGCTTTCTCTGTTCAGGTCTGATCTAGCACTCTGTTAAGAGCCAAAGCTCAGGAAACAGAGAATTAAATAAACTAAGATAGCTTTTGGTTTGAGAATTATATGCCCAACATCCAGACCAGCAAGATCAAGTTATGGAGAGACAGATATCTTGATGAATCCAACCATGTACCTTTTAGAGTCAGACTACTGAAAGCTTATCGTTAGGATATGAATCACTCTATAACTGCATTATGTGGATGTTACCCAAGGGAGCTCTGTTCTTTGCTCTTCTCAAACATCCAGATTAGGAATATAAGAGCTGCATTCAGGTTGAGTAAATTGTAATCACCGTGTCTTTTAACACAAACAATAAAACAGATTACATCTATTTGCTCATCCCTTTTTGGATTTATTTTGGATTTATTTATACAGCTAAGCCATCTTTATAGCAACTAAGACTGAAGGCAGTCTGTGGAATAGGAAGGGGAACCAGAATGCAGAAATAGTAGAAGAGGCTTCACCATTTTCAGCTACAAATGTGGAGTGCTGCTCCCAGAAAAAAATGAAATCCCTTTAAACACAACCCTAGAACATCAGTGGGAACAATCCCATTCCCTATCTAGCTTTCTATTTCTATAGAAAATGTAGCATAGGAGATCATTCAAGAACAGCTTTCTCCCACTGACCCTTGGAAATGGTGTAGTTCATTCTGTCACTTTAGCATGCTTACAACCTTGTTCCTTTGGAATCACTCTGGCCATAAAGGTAGTCAAATAAAGGGGAAAAAAAAGTTGTAAGGACCCATATGGTATCTTTCCACCCAGTGGAGACCTATAATTGAATGTTATGTATAATGTGTGATGGAAAGGTCAGTTACCTCCTTTAGATTCAAAGTTGGGTATCCCATGCATGATGACATGATGCAAGAAGAGGGGCTTGTTGTTCATTTTGATGGTGCCAGACAGCAGACCGCTGAAGTAATGGACATATCTAGAGTAGAAACCAAAATAGTATCAGGGCATTTAGCTGGAGTCTCTTGGAATATTTATATTTCAGTGAGTCACTAGAGTTTGAAGGGGCCATTTATGCCATCAAGTCTAAAACTTCTGCGTGGGAGTTTTTCAAATATTTGAATAAATAGCTAGATAAATTAGATAGATGAGAGAGAGAGAGAGACAGAGAGAGAGACAGACAGACAGACAGACATTGCCTTCTCAAATAATTTAAGGATTTGGGGAGGATGCTTCTTTTATTAAAATATCAGGATTTCTTTATTATTTCAAGTTATATCTGTGAAAAAATTAAAATGCATTCTCATATTTTTCTTTCAGTCTCTCTTGTTGGCTTTAGAGCAAACATGAGAAAGAAAAGCAAAAGTGGTGTTGTGATTTTCAACAATTACACATAGTGTAATAAATAATAATGCTAATATTTTCAGCGCTGAAAAGACTACCATAAAAAAGATTCTTCATCATACTACTCAAAGGTCAGATACTGATATTCAAAATTTCATTATGTCTTTCAAAATGAAACGCATGCAAAGAAGCTTTAGAGGCTACACGTTTGGATATCTTTTGGTCATCAAAAATGCTACACACAGATTTTTGTCGGCTCAGCACCACCAAGTGAAATTGACTGGAAATGCATTAGAAGCTGAAGAAAATTCAGTAAGCATTTGCAGCATTGGATGTCTTCTGAGCATCATTATCTACATTTGCAACTACAGCCTCTACAAATATTAAGTTCTCCCAGCAAAAACAGTTGATTCTAGATTAGTTAAATACATTTATTTTAGGAACAGATGGATCATATCTAACTGCAGAAGAAGCCCAGAACCCAGCAGAAACTCGTAGGTCTTGGGAGCTATAGTTCTGAACTGAATTATGATTGGGGTTGAAGCTTACTTTACCCCCTTAATTTCAACAACTGTGTGATTTGTTAAATTTTGGTTCTGAACAAGCAATGAATAAAAAATACTGAGGCTTACTCTTTGTACAGAGACAAAAAGTGTAATTTTAATGTGAATGGAGAGATTCGGGGAGCCCTCTGACGATCATCTCTACATGTATGTGCTGAAAGCACCATAAGGGTTTTTTTCCCCCAAGAAGGGGAGGAAGGGGAGGAAGACTAACCTCTTCTGAGATGGCTGCCCAGCTGGGATCACCTTGTCCTCATAGAACCTCTTCATGGCAAACCGGTCCAGAGCCTGATCTGCACTGTGGGAATAAAAAGAAGTGTCAATACAAGTTTATTTCCAGAATGATAAGAGTTTCCTTGGGAGTTCTCTCTGCAGTACTTTTGCCCACTCGTCCACCATTGTTTGTTTTCAATCACAAATACTAAAATGGCGTCAGTAAAATAAAAATTGCTGATTTAAATTTAAAACCATATTGGGCTAGTTTAAAAACAGCCATTTAAGTTTAATCATCTCCGTACCAGACTTTTCTCAACCCAGTGCCCTCCAGTTGGGTTAATTAATTCCCACCCATCAGGAAGGTACCAGATTTGAGAAAAGCATTCTGTTTTACATTTACATGAGCCACTGCCTCTGTCTTTTGTAGCAAGTGTATTATCTTGCCCCGTTTGAAGTTCTAACTTCTAGTCTGGGGTGGGGATGGGTTACTTAATTGTAGAAATGCAACATGACATCCCTCAATCATTAATGAATTCTTACAGTGGTGGGATTCAAATATGTGAACAACCGGTTCTCTGTGTGGATGTCTCTTCCGGAAGTCCATTCTGGGCCTGGGCAACAAAAAATTAGCTATCGGTTCTGCCGAAGTGGTGCGAACTGGCTGAATCCCACCACTGAATCCTTGGCAGTCCAATACTGACAATAACCCATTTACACTCCAGCCCTTTGCAACACAGTTCAGCAACTTTACAGTGTAAATACCTATTTCATGTTTTCATTCCCCCCCCCCCGGCCTCTTTACTTTGTGCTTGTTGACTTGTGATTAGCAAAACTCATCATGTCCCTATGAACTAATAGAGATGCTTTTTCTAGCAGCAAAAAGGGGCTGGGGATAAATCTCCATGCAATTTCCTGATCCATGTAAGAATTTTAGGCAGCATACTAGAACTATGTAACGACGCCACTGTGTTTGATAATCATGTCAGAAGGCTTGGCAAAGTTGTGCGGTTGTGAGTGTGTACTGGGAGGGAAATCGGGCTTTGCCTAAAGTTTGGGATTCTATTATCAAAGTGGACCTGCTAAGTTTCTAAATAAGCAGATTTCCAGTATCACTACCCTGTCAGAATTAAAACCACTGCTTTTCTAGCTCTTTATAGATACCCTAATATGTAGTTTTCTTACCTGGCTGAAATATTGCTATAGTGCATGTAAGCAGCAATAACAACCCCTGTTCGACCTCTGTTTCCCTGCAGACACAAAAAAAGGGAGAAAGGAAGTAATAAATCATCATCCTCAGTAATCATGCCTGGAAGAAGAAAGATTACAGTCCTTGTATCTTCACTAACTGGAGAAGAGCCTAATGCTGGAAAAGATTGAGGGCAATAGACGAAGGGGACGACAGAGAATGAGGTGGCTGGATGGAGTCACTGAAGCAGTAGGTGTGAGCTTAAATGGACTCCAGAAGATGGCAGAGGACAGGAAGGCCTGGAGGAACGTTGTCCATGGGGTCGCGATGGGTCGGACACGACTTCACAACTAACAACAACAACAACAACATCTTCACTAATGCCATTTGAATAGCACTTTCTGAAGGGAAGAGATTTTAATAACATGGGACAATCAACCTTTTTGGGGGTGGCATTAATCTGATTTTTAAAACGTCACGCAGAAGTGTGTATTCAAATTTCTATTTGTAAATATGCTTCCCCACACAATGTGTCTCTAAATGTGTTGGTCATAAAATACATCAGAAATATTGAAAGCGGGTCTATAATAAACTCCATGTGTTGGTGCAGGACAATTTTTTTCCCCAATTCGGCATCTTCCAGGTATATTGAGATCCCAGCTCCCAGGTGCCTCGTTAACATCCATCACCTCATTAAGAATTTTGTAAGCTTCACTTCTAACATGTCTGGAGGGCATCAGGTGAGGAAAGTCTGGAGTGGTGGCATTGATCTGTTCTGAATTTTTTGAGAGGTTAAATTCCTTGCACGCTTCCAGGAATAACTCCCCACAACGTGGACACATTTGAATGGGAACAGATGCCACTTGGTCTAGTCAAACAATATGAGAGATGAACTGAGGCACAGCTCAGGTAAGTCGGCAAAAGTAAACAACCATGAATGCCTTACAAGAAGGCGATAACTGAACAATGATTTCCAAAGGGGAGGAAAATTTATTAAGAGTGCCATTATAAGGACCAAGACACGTATTATTCCATAAATGTGTCTGGATCAAATTAACCAACAGATGGCGCTGCCTTCTTCAATAATAACTGTGCTGGCTGGATTTTACAGTAGGTTTTGCTATTTAGGAGTCTTCTGGGAAAGATTCTGGAGAAAACCTGTGCGCCTCTCCTACTCCTCAAACACAGAGACGAAGAACAAATTGGGGCATCATCACAGGGCCATTTTAAAATTAGGTAGTCATTGACTTACAGCAGTTCGTTTAGTGACCATTCAAAGTTACAACGGCACTGAAAAAAGTGACTTAGGACCGTTTTTCACACTTATGACCGTTGCAGCGTCCCCATGGCCATGTGATCAAAATTCAGACGCTTAGCAACGGGTTCATATTTGTGACGGTTGAAGTATCCCGGGGTCACGTGATCCCCTTTGGCGACCTTCTGACAAGCCAACTCAAAGGGAAAACTGGATTCACTTAACAACCGTGCTACTAACTCAACAACTGCAGTGATCCGCTTAATAATTGCGGCAAGAAAGGTCGTAACATGGGGCCAGATTCACTTAACATATGTTTCACTTAGCAACAGAAATGTTGGACTCAGTTGTGGTCGTGAGTCGAGGACTACCTGTAGTATACAATGCAATGGACAGTGCAGAATATGTAACGGAGAGTGTGATTGGGCAGCTACATCTATTTTCTTTTCTCCGTTCTTATTGGCAGGAGAATATCTGCCTTTTTTTTTTTACCCTGAGATGAACTGATGGGGATGTTTAACTCTCCTTTTCTTCCACGATCCCTTGTATTAAGCATGTATATCTCATCTCAGCGCAAATGACAGAGGTAAGAGGAACACAAGAAGAAAAGTGATGTATCTGATAAATGGTTAGTACTCTATTACAGTTTCCTATTTCAAAAGCATGGATCCTATCTGATTCGATTCTTGGGAGCAGAGCAAATATGTGAGCAGCTGCCCCATCATGACGAATTTGGCTCTGAATCTGTTGTCAGCCTTTACATGTTTCACAGATATGTAACTTGCAGCTTGCAGATTAATTTCATGAGGCTTCTGTAAGAAATCACTCACAATTAACCAGTGGAACAACCTGCCTCCAGAAGCAGTAAATGCTCCAACACTGGAAGGTTTTAAGAAGAGATTGGACAGCCATTTGTCTGAAATGATGTAGGGCAGTGGTTCTCAACCTGTGGGTCGGGACCCCATTTGGGGTCGATTGACCATTTCACGGGGGTCGCCAAGCAAGGCTGTCCGCCATTTTTTTTGTCCGCCATTTTTTCCCCCTTTTCCGGTGGGTGCCTTACCTCCCTTGGGCTGGGCCAGCTGGTGGTCGGCTTGCTCCATCTCTGCCGCTTGCCAGCTACGCCTCGGCCGGTGCAGGGGGCGGAACCACGCATGCGCGGTGCTCCCGGGCAGGGAAAATCCTCGACTTATGACCGGTTGGGTAGTCCTCGACGTACGACTGGTTTAGTCCTCGACTTACGACCGGTTTAGTCCTCGACTTACGACCGGTTTAGTCCTCGACTTACGAGCGGTTGGGGTCGCGGCATTAAAAAGATTGAGAACCACTGGTGTAGGGTTTCCTGCCTGAGCAGGGGGTTGGACTAGATGACCTCCAAGGTCCCTTCCAACTTTATTATTATTATTATAGGTGTAATTTTTTAAAAAAACCAGTAGTATTTAAAAGTATCTACTACAATTGAGCCAAAAACTTCCCTGGCTAAACAAGATGGTTGTTAAGTGAGTTTTGTCCCATTTTACAACCTTTCTTGCCACAGTTGTTAAGTGAATCGCTGCATTTGTTAAGTTAGTAATATGGTTGTTAACTGAATCTAGCTTCCCCATTGACTTTGCTTGCTAGAAGATTGCAAAAGGGGATCACATGACCCCAGGACACTGCAACTGTCATAAATACATGCCAGTTGCCAACTGTTCAAATTTTTATCACGTGATCACGGGGATGCTACAATGGTCGTAACGATGATAAACAGTCAGAAATCACTTTTTTTCAAGTGCCGCTGTAACTTCAAACGAATGGTCGTAAGTCATCAACTAACTCTGTATTCCTTTACTCACGCCCAAATAGACCACAATATCAAAGCCATAGCAGACATCAAATCACTGAACCACAGAACATGGAGTCAGAATCACTTGTAGTGGCCATCCAGTCCAATCCATAACTCACCAAAACTTAATGTCTTCAACGTACTCACAATCACATAGTCAAAGTGATATTCAACAGTGTTGCAGTTCCCCTGGAGGGCCAAGTGTGCAGTTTAGAAATTTTCCCAAATACACCACTACCTAGGGAATTTTGGGCAGGAAAGCCTATTAACTGGAATACCTACTACTTCCCTATATCCCTAGAGACACATGGAGGTACTAACAAACCTCCCACTTCTGCGACTCCCATGATATTCCCTGATTTAATGTTACTCTCCTAGGAGAACAACATACCTGCTTTTTCCACTGTTGGACATTCATCCCAGGGGCTAATGTGTTTAACAAAGGAGTAAGAACACACATATGTATTTATTTCATGAGAAGCTTAAACTGTGCTTTAATATGCAAATGGAAAATACAAAAGGTTCAAATTGCAGCTATAATGCCGCCTCATCAGAATACAAATTGTGCAGTAATAGCAAGAGAACAGAAGCAATGACCTCAATATCTAGCAACTCCAAAAGAATAAGAACAAATTACGGTAGTTAAGGAAGCAATAGCAATGGCACTTAGACTTATATAACACTTCATAGTGCTTTACAGCCCTCTCTAAGTGGTTTACAGAGGCAGCATATTGCCCCCAAGAATCTGGGTCCTCATTTTACCAGCCTCCGAAGGATGGAAGATTGAGTGAACCTTGAGCCAGCCAGGATCAAACCACTGGCAGTCAGCAGACTTAGCCTGCAATGCTGCATTCTAACCACTGTGCCACTGTGGCTCTCTGTAAAAGCTCTATAACAACTGTAAAAACCCATGGTTACAGTAAAAACTCATTTTCAAGTTCTGGCAATGAAGGATAAGTTTCACACACAACCTTGCTTGGTGAATCCATCCATTTCCTAGACATGCACAAGACACTGAACCATTAGCTAAATAAATAGGCTGAGTTTGCAAGCATGCTAACTCAACCAACAGACAGACAAACCAAGGTTAAAACAAGCAAAGTTTGGTCTACTGGAAAAGCGAGCTGACAGCCCTTCAATTGACTGCTTACACATGTTACATAACACAACCAAGGAGTATCAAGAGCAACAAGCATGAGAAGAAAGTTTCTACTGATATATTGGGCATGTAGACTTAACTGAATTTTATCCTAGTTTCACTATTCAATTTTTTCTTCAAAAGTTCTAGGGAAGTCTTATCCGATGCAGCTGCTAAAACTCATGTTTTATGTCTTTCAAGACCACAGTATCCAGAATGTCCAGGGGAGAGGGATCAACTTCTAAAATACATCAAATCTGATACACTATAGGAAGATCTTTAAAGTGTAGTATTTTGCAGTATCAAATAATGGAAGTAACAGCAATGCACGCATAGGCCAATCACAAACACACAGCAACCAACAATTATATAAGAGTGCTGAATAATGCCCATAAAACTGAAAACTAAACAGTGAGAACAGGAAGTTTGGTGGAAAAAGCTGAAAATATTCCCATCACAAGAAAGCAGTGCTGAGACTACACATCCTGTTTTCATCACTATCTGAAGCACAGGCTGAGCATCCAGCTGAGGCCAAATCTAGCACAAAGTTTGCAGAAACTGCTTTACAGTCATCGGGGATGAGGAGGGGAGAAATATACAATTGTGCATAGCAAATTGCTACAAGCGTGGCAACAGCAAGCGTGTAGCAAATAGAGCATTGCAAAAAATAAGAATACACTTTCTGTTCATGGATAGCAATTCAGAAGACGGTTCTTTAGCCACAAGCAAAATAGTTGTAGGCAGGAGAACGAGGGTGGCCTAGCTATAAACAAAGCTGGCCTTGAGATCACATGCACTAGTCACGTATTTGCTTTACAAAATCAAAATGAAAACTATTTGGAGGCTCCATTTGCCACTGTTCAACTGTTTGCTAAATCAGGGTTTAGTCCGTGGCCTGGTACCAGTCTGTGGCCCACTGGGACCTGGTCTGCACAAGCAGTGGGCAAGTGCACAAGTGCGCAAAACTCCATTTGCACTAGCAGCGGGTGCACGCTTTGAAGCCATCCCCTCTCCCCCCCGCGCCACCACCTCCACCGCTGCTGGTCCACAGAGTTGGAAAGGTCGGGGACTGCTGTGTTAAATGATCTTTGCACCTAAGCAGAGGCAAAAACCCACAGTTCTCCCAACAACCATCATCCAGGGAAATCTTTTTCTTTCCTCTCACCTTATTATGCAACACTACCACGTTGTGTGGGTCAGCATTGAGCCACGTATCCATGGCCTTGCAGATGCTGCATATCTTCTCCAGCGCAGGGGTATGCAAGTCAGGCCACCCAAAATCCAGCACCTGTGGTACAAGGAGAAAGAGGGGTTCCAAGTAGGAGAAGAAAGTCATGAAGCTGTTATAAAAGATTAGGATTTCTATCTTAAGTTCTTTTGGCTATCAGACAGTTTCACAAGTTGTTCCAGAACATAAAAAGGGAGGATTGGTTCTACCATTAGGCAAATGCATCTAGAGTTCTCATTTTAAGACAGCCATATTCCAGTTCTTTATTATTATTTATGATTGCTGACAAAGGCTTCTTTTGGATTTTCTATTTCAGTCATTCAAGATACTACTGCAAATCATTTCTTGCCTGTGTTGCCAAAAGAAGGCAAGCCAAGTTATGTGATGACAAACATTAACAACCTGCAAATTCTTGTTAGGAATCCTTGCTAGAAATTGGTGGGGCACGTTCTTAATCAGGAATAAAAATTAAGATGCAGCACCATCCCTAGTAAATCAAGCTGGATCAAAACTGACATCAACCTTATCTTAGAAATTAGTTGTCCCACCCACAAAAAGTTTAAAAAAGAAAAAATAATAATGCATATAATCCAGGTGGATAATATGAAATGAGGATCTTTTTCCTAGAAAAAAAGAACTCTTCCTGGGAATTGCTTTCATTTCAAATTATACACACCATTTAAAAAAACTGGAGCCTTGCCTAATTCCCTGGCACTTTCTCAATTTCTCTACACTTAATCCTTGCTGGGAGCATCCCTGCAAATAGATCCTATGCAAGAACAGAGAGTTGCATGCCACAAAGATGTTCGGCATGCAGAGAATGTGAAGCTATAATTGGAGATGGATAGATGGATTTCACTGGCTCACTTTTAATTGTTTTTGAGTATTTCAGTGTGTTTTTGGTCTCATTTCTTTCATCAAACTGTGATGGCAGAATTCATATGAAACTTAAAATGTGTTTCTGTACATATTATATATTTGCATGGCATTTCCCTTAACATGGATATTTTGATAGAATATTTGGACTGGACAGTTCCATCATAAATTTTGGAGAAGTGCTAAAAAAAGAAGGGTAATTATATTTCAGTTGGCACATCATTACATTTTAGGTCAGTTAATAATAAATGTCAAGTCACCCATGGTTTATTGGTTTGTTTGCTTCACTATATTCACTGCCATAATGTCACAAAGAGACTTTAATTGCCACAAGCCCTATGCTTACAGTACTTTTGAGATGGCCAAGCTTTTTTTGCTTCCCAATCCTTTTGTTCATGGTTTGAAATTATAATGAAATGTGAAAATGACCTTGAAAGATGGGAGGAAGGGAAAGATGCTACCTGTGAAACAATCAGAAAACAGAGAGAGGAGCCCACAACTGAGTCTCAGAGAAAGTCTAAGAAAAGATCCTCCCTAATTTAACAGGTAGTAAAAAAAAAAAAAGATGGTGGAAGATTTGTACTTTCGAACTATGTCAACCTCCTAAGTATACCAGACAAGAAACATGATCAGATGAACTAATTCTATTTTATTGCAGGATTACATTAACAGAATCTTGCAAATCTGAAAATACAAATCCCCCTCTGTCTCTTTTTATGACCTGATAAGTTAGGGTGGATCCTGTCTAAGTTTCTCTCTCTGCCCAGTTACTCAGTTGCTGGCTTTCCCCCCTTTTATCTGATCATTCTCTAGGCAGCATCTCTTCCTCCCTTCTCAGGTCTTCCAAGGTCATTTTCACATTCCATTATAGAAACACATTTGAGAATGATCCAGGCAATCTTGATTGCTTGCAGACCTCTTTCTTTTCTCTTCCTTTCCTTCTAACTCTTCCACACATCCAGCAATCTAAGCAAGAGGGAGCAGGGGTAAAACTGATCAGAGTTAATTAGCTATAAACAAACTGGAACTCTTAGTTTCCTTCTGGGTGTTTTCACAGCTTCGCAATTTCCAAGACAGTAACTTCCTCAAAATGGAAAATTCCTGTGCATGGAAAGAGCAGTGACATCTTAAGATTCTGCCCAATAGTGAGTCCTTAGTAACGATCTTGTTTAATCACCAGGGGAAGTCTCAAGTCAAAACCAGGACTCCATATTCATCTAACAACTTCTTTAAAACAGCATTTTGTCAAAGGAGCACATTCTTTTCTATCAGTTGATCGAAAAGTGGAAGAAGCAAGGGAGAATCGGCATTAGTTCCTCTGAATAAAAATGTAACTTCCTTCTCAGAAAAGCAACCACTAATCTTAGAATATCTTAAGTATGACTTCAAATGAGTGATAATGATGATGTTGATGTTGATGTTGATGATGATGATGATGTTTCAGTTGAGTTATGCTTAGGAAGGGATATCTTTACATTACTATTTTCAAGCAATCCCCCAATGGTGGTTCTATGGTCCAATAAAGTATCAATAAAAATAACTACTTGCCTTTTTTATATAATAATAACTATCATACACAAAAATTGGCATGGACAAAAGTTGTCCCCAGTTCTTCAAGGAAAGCTTTAATTCAGAAAATATTGAGATTCGGAACCCCAGGCAAACTGCATAATATTCTCTCAGAACTTCCTTCAGAAATTCTCAAATTGTGTTCCACAATCATCTACCAGTGGCCAATTGCATCCTCCCTGCATGCATTGCCAGTCTGAAGTCTGTCCCTTCAGCCCCCATTTCTTGGCTATCCCCATGAATCAACTGATTTGTAGAAACCAATCCATGGTAGGAAACTGAATAAATTAAAGCATATAAGGGATAATACAAGTAGCAACATGATACTTAAAATTCTGAAAATGGATGGAAGTACAGTTGCTTATTATGAGTGTAATACGTTCACACACAAGCATCCCCAAAGAAAAATAGTGAATAGGAAATGTAGCAATGAATAAGTAAGCACAAGATTTCATTCAGCTGGAAAACTACTTGCTTAGCCCCTTACGATTCAAGAGATTTGTACTGAATAATATATTGATTAGCAAGTAAGCTAACTAGTTGGTTAATTTCTTTATTATTTTATGTATAAATAATTAAAATATCTAAGACTGCCCATTCTGCAATGACTCTGATTAGCTTAGTAAAAGCAAGCAATGGGTTAAAATCCCTATGATCATGCGGGGGGGGTGAAACTTTTAAATGTAAATATAACATAAACATTGGAGGAATTGTTGGTATAGGATGGGTACATAAAATATTTCAAGTGATAAAGAAGATTCTTATTTAAATACTTCTTTTAGAATTAGATTTTCTGGTCCAACATTCAGTTTAGAAAGACCTATAAAAATGGAGGAGATTGAGAAGCATATCCAAATACAAGTGTAATTATTATCTTACTTCCCGAAAACCTGAATTCCCAGACTCTTAAAGACAAAGATGTAGGGAGAGGTATTTGTATAATTTAGTTATCCATGTAGTTTCCAAGAGGTTATTTGGTGGTTTGCAGTTGCAAAATATTTGACACATGTTGCCTTATAAAATAGGAAGACTACGAATGTTGTCAACCTTCATCAACAAATAACGGAATTAGCTCTAGAGTGGGAGATAAGTGTTGATTGACTATGAATGTGAATACTTCTGTCATGATAGCTCTGAAGATTTTAGCAAATTACTATCCCACAAGCTTTGGGGAGTTTTTTAAAATTAAAAAATGAGGATTTTTAAAATAAATAATTAAATTTCTTACTCGAAGAGTGTTGTACAAAAGCAGAGTAATCAAGGAAGTAAATACCCTGAAATCCAATATATAATTCATCTAGTTTTTCCATTTATTATTGCTGCATTTCCCTCCAGTAAAAGGTTTGCCTTTTTAAAACCTGTTCCTCTCTCTGCCTCTCAGTCACAGAAGTTCACCTTTCATTCCTCTTCTGTTTCTCCAGCCTGTTAATTCAGCTGAATAACCTCCTGCCATAATCACCTGATAAATATAGTGGCAAGCCTAGATTACAATGCTAGGACCATTTCCAGAATTTAGAGCAGAGGCAGAGGCAAGCGCTGGCTGTAGCTTAAGGAACAACCTCTTTGGATGACAAAGACAGTGGCTACACAATGTAATTAATGGCCAAAAAAGAGTGGGATGTACCTAGAGGAGGCAGCGCTCCGTGATTACCCAATTTGGAGGCAAAAAGTAGCTGAAGAGAAGTGGAGCTGCTGCCTAGGGTATGATCTTAAAAGACTGTAGGTTTACAGTAAATGAAACTGAACATAGCTTCATAGTTAACATGAACTTTTTAGAATGTAGTCCAATTAATCATATATACACAGAGGAGCCTGTTTCTTCATTTCAGGGTCTGAAAAAAACGATAGCTCTTCTTTTGCAGATACTACTGTATACTGTCTAGCTGTCAAAAAGATGCATGCAGGAAAATTTGCAAAATCAATGTACATAAATCTACCTAAGCCTTCCTAGGCAATTGAAACCACTTAACGTATTTTATTATTCAAAATAGCAACTGGAATCAGACATATTAGTTTCCTAGCAAACATTGATTTCTCCATTCTGAGAAACAGTTTGGGATTTTGGAACCCAGGCTTCAAAAGCTTATTTTTTCCTGAATTACAGAACACACAGAGACATTCATTTTCACAGTGTCATCACTAATGGAGAAGGAAGATCACATTAAAATGTACAACCTCTAGCAGGTCTGCTATAATTTGTGGCATTTTGATCCCTTGCAGTTTCATGGGATTTCGGATAAAGACTGCCAACCTCTTGAAAAACGTTGGTTAATATCACATTAAGTAATTTTATCATGAGGTCCTGCAGGCATATTTCTGGTTATGGATGTCCACAGGTGCACCTCAAGGTTCTGATGACCTCAAATTTCAGGGAATATAATGCCTGTTTACGGGATGTATTTCATTATTCAATGAAGGAATAAAGTTATCCTTTATTTACTAATTACTAAGGCTGAAAGATGTTGATACTGTGGGTGGGAAGAAATCAAGAGCTATGATAGGGTAATAAATCCATAGGCTAGTATATGTAATGTATTCAGTAACTAATTTGTATCTGTAAAAAGTTATAAATGAGTTTTTGTCCTGGCCCAATTTTCTCTCTCTCATCCAACCACTCTCCTGGAAATGTTTTTTGCTTAAGTAACAGTCCATCATACCTTGCAATGTAGCTTGCTGATGTCGTGCCTCCTCTCTGATAGATTAAGAAGCTAAGAGAGAGAAAAAAAATGTACAATATTAGAAGAGTCTGCTTGTGTGGTATATCTTGAGCTTGGTACAAAATGGTGGAAAAACACCTAAAAGCCAAAAATACATAGTTTCAGATCAGTGAAATACCTACACACATATACAAGTTTTCTCTTTCCAAATTTTCAAGAACTCCAAATATGAGTTTTTAAGCTTTATTGACATCACCATGCAGCTCACTGAACTAAAAACTGAACTGGAACTATGAGAGATAATGTTTTTGTTTGGTTTTGAGGATCTTGCTCCTGTTGAGGGTCTTGCTCCTATTATTACCTCATAATAAAATATAGTCTTCAGAATTGATAATAAAGGTGAATGGATGAATTGGCAAAGGGATGCCATATCACAAAGTAACAGTTCATGCCATAAGGATAATTAGAGAAAAAGTAGGTTCTGGAAAAAATTCAGATAAAATATCCATAAGATATTACAACTGTTTTTGAAGTGAACCACCAAGACAGAATTCCAGAAAACATTCACTTCTTGGAAAGTTTTTCAAAGCAAGTTCTGAAATTGAGTCACAGCCTTCCAAAGTGCTTACCAAGTAATTGTCCCCATGCTTGGATTTAAGCATTTGAGCCACCTCCTTCAGGTTGCTGCAGAAGGTCTGTTCTTCCGACAAACTTGCAAAGTTGACAGCAATTATCCGTTCTGTGACATATACCAGATCTAGTTCACAAGTGTCTTCCATGGCCTGGTTTAGGCTCAAGTTCCTAGGCCAAAGAAAAACAATTGAACAATCAACAGTTGAGATATAAGATGTAAGTTGTGAAGGATCTGCCTGTGTACTCATCAGCAAGCACTTTTTCACTTTACTTGTGTTGTCAATTCTGAAGTGTGTTCTTGGAGTGTTAACAAGTTGGGTTCTCAAATTCTGTTCTCATGGGGGGGGGTGGGTTTCCAGGAGAACTTTTAATTAAATTTCCTTGTACATATGTTTTGGAATCTGAATTGGGGAAACAGGATACTCCTTTCAAAATTACACTTTTCTCCCAGATGATATTTGTAGCTTCCTTTTTTAATTGGAATGCTGGCAAATGTAGATTATTTTTCCATAAGGAAGTATGGCTGGTATTAAACAGCATATGAAACCAAGGGATTCCTAGAGACCACTGCAGAAGGGAAAATACACCAACAGATAATCATTTCAAGAAGTCCTATGGCATCATAGGATGAAGGACAAGGGGACAAGGGAAAAATCAGGACGGTATGCAAAGTATATTGCCTTGAATTCCTGATGGTAAATCAGAATACAAATCTACAAATTAAGCCATTTGTACAAATGGGTAGCAAAGAACCAAGTGTTCAATAAACACAACAAAGAGTCTTCTCTTATAAAACTATCGCAAGACAAATGTTGATGAATTAGAGACCCTCCATGAACTAGAATAAACATGAAAACCCGTGTTTCTCAATCTCAGCAAGTCTAAGACGTGTGGATCTGAACTTCCAAGATTTCCCAGCCAGAATTCTTCATTAAGCAATTGTGGGAGGTAAAGTCCACACATCTTAAAAGTTGCTGAGATTGAGAAAGACAGGTCTGTACTAATGGTTCTGTGTAAGTATAAAATTCACAGAGGAAAAAACTTTCAGATTGTACCAGACATCACATTCCTCCAGGGTTGAAAGTAGTGAATAGTACAGAATAGTAGTTGCTGGAATTAGAGCTGCTGGTGCTATAATGTGGTTGACCATTGTGGGAAGAGTCTGATCTGGTCTAGCTCTCCTTTGTTTTTTAAATCAATTTACAACAAGGTTGAAACATTAATGGATTGTATTCCTAATTAAAAATAAATCAGTGGCTGGAGCTCCATAGCTAAGATACTTCATACAAAAATCTCGTCAACTCTTGAGGTTTACCTTGAAGGTTTACGTTGTGCCTGCATAATTTGAGGGGATCTTGAAAACACCTAAAGTAGAAAAAATTGAGAGGAAGATAAAGAAGAAAATGTCATATTTTTTCATCACAGATTGGCACAATCGGCAGAAAAAGTGAAGAAACCAAGTCTCTGCTTATTTTCCAAACCCCATATGAATAGCAAAGATAAAATCTGATGTGTGTTGGGATAGGAAGAGTTGTCAGTTTGAAGTGGCTCATAAAAAATGCTATAAACCTCCACTTTGAAAAACATCCCATATTCCCCGATATTGGAGAATTTATTTTTAAAGTGCATTTTTCTCATTTCTCTGCATTTGCACAATTGTTAGTGTTGCAGTTTGCATTTCATAACATATTGAAGATAACACATGAGAAAAATCAGAGAAGTGGAGAAAATAAAATCCAGAGCAAGTCCCAATTTAGTACTAATAATAATAAAGTTGGAAGGGACCTTGGAGTCATCTAGTCCAGTGATGGCGAACCTTTTAGAGACTGAATGCCCAAACTGCAACCCAAAACCCACTTATGCATCATCGGGTGCGCGGTGGGTGTGGCCCATTGGCTGGGTGTGGCCCATTGGCTGGGTGTGGCTGCGGTGGTAATGGCAGACTGGGTGGGAAAAAAAGTTCAATCAATCAATTCCAACTTTGCAAGATCTTTTTTTCCCCCACGAGTTGAAATTGACTGATTGATTGAACCTTTTTTTTTTTTGCACACAGCGTCGGAGGCCTAAACCGAAAAGGTTTTATAAAACCCAGTTGAAGACCTAGAACTGGGGCGACAGCGCGCGTGCCCACAGAGAGGGCTCTGAGTGCTGCCTCTGGCACCCCTGCCATCACTGATCTAGTCCAACCCCCTGCTCAGGCAGGAAACCCTATACCATTTCAGACAAATGGCTGTCCAGTCTCTTCTTAAAAACTTCCAGTGTTGGAGCATTCACAGCTTCTGGAGGCAAGTTGTTCCACTGATTAATTGTTCTAACTGTCAGGAAATTTCTCCTTAGTTCTAGGTTGCTTCTCTCTTTAGTTAGTTTCCATCCGTTGCTTCTTGTCCTGCCTTCAGGTGCTTTGGAGAATAGCTTGACTCCCTCTTCTTTGTGGCAGCCCCTGAGATATTGGAACACTGCTATCATGTCCCCCCTCATCCTTCTCTTCATTAAACTAGACATACCCAATTCCAGCAACCGTTCCTTATATGTTTTAGCCTCCAGTCTCCTGATCATTTTTGTTGCTCTTCTCTGTACTCTTTCTAGAGTCTCAACATCTTTTTTACATCATGGTGACCAAAACTGGATGCAGTATCCCAAGTGTGGCCTTACCAAGACATTGTAAAGTGGTATTAACACTTCACGTGATCTTGATTCTATCCCTCTGTTAATGCAGCCTAGCACTGTGTTGGCTTTTTTGGCAATTGCAGCATACTGCTGGCTCATATTTAAGTGATTGTCCACTAGGACTCCAAGATTCCTCTCACAGTTGCTACTATTGAGCAAGGTACCACCTATACTATACCTGTGCATTTGGTTTTCTTGCCTAAATGTAAAACCTTACTTTTTTCACCATTGAATTTCATTTTGTTAGATAGCACCCACTGTTCAAATCTGTCAAGATCCTTCTGTATCTTAAGCCTATCTTCTGGAGTATTGGCTATTCCTGCCAGCTTAGTGTCGTCTGCAAATTTGATGAGTTCCCCATTTATCCCCTCATCCAAATCATTGATGAAGATGTTGAAGAGCACTTGGCCCAGAACAGAGCCCTGGGGCACCCCACTACACTACATATTCCTTTCTGTGTTGCAAGTCAAATAGAATATATTAAATATGTTTAGGGTTTTTTTTCTTTTCAGTAAGATGCTCAGACTAAATTATAGATCTTTTCTGCCAGTGTCCCTCGAAAAGTGGAGGGAAAATGTAGGCATAAGAAAGGAAACTACACTAGCTGATAGTATATTCTCTTAGCAAATTTGTGAACAAGGAATGGTTTACTTCTAAAATTGAATCTGACTGCTTGCTCACTCCATGGAAACTCCATAGCTAAATTCAATTTTAAAAAGACTTTTGGGAACTTTATAAATTGCAATCTTAAACTACACTGAACAAAGCACATCTTTGCAGTTAGAGATCCTCTGAAGATAGCATTTAGAAATTAGAAGGGGAAAAAAAAGGATTGTTATGAAATCTGGCTTCTAGATTTAATTCTAGAATAAACCAGCAAGTTTTACTGCAGATTTCTCAGAGAAGGCAATTTCACGGAACCCTTTAGATCTCTCCTGGAGAAATATGATCTTACTAAGCACTAGGAGAAAGCATTATAATACACTGCAAGATCTCTTCATGTCCCTAGAACTGTACTTATCCAAAATTTTCACAGAACAAAATATCAGGAGGAAATATCTAAATTGTTGAAGCAGGAAGTTTCTATTTATACATTGTTCTCACTCTTTCCCCCACCCACCCCCAAATTCCTTATGTGCTTATTTTATTCAATGACTTTATAACCCCAGCAGGAACACTAAGTGGGGGTTCTAATTAAAAAAATACATGAGGATACACACACACACACACACGCACACACACCATCAGAATAACAGAGTTGGAAGGGACCTTAGAGGTCTAGTCCAGGGCTTTTCAACCAGTGGTACGGGTACCACCTGTGGTACATTGGCACCTGGCAGGTGGTACGTGACCATCCTAGAAAAGTGGTAGAGGGGGAGGGGAATGAGCTGAACCGGTGGCAGCACCGCACAAGCCTGAGCGAGAGATGGCTGGAGCTGCAGGGCTGTCAGGGCTCAGCGGAAGCGCCAGGATCAGTGCCGCTTTCCAGCTGATCGACGCTTCTTCGGGGCTGTCAGGGCTCAGTGGAAGCTCCAGGATCAGCACCAGGCTCCAGCTGGAGATCAGCGCTGATCCTGGTGCTTCTGTTGAGCCCTGAAGAAGCACCAATCAGCTGGAAAGCAGCACTGATCCTGGTACTTCTGCTGAGCCCAGAAGCGCCAATTAGCTGAAATGTTGCAACATCTCCAGGGTCTTGTGATTTACTCTCAGATGCTTGGCAACTGATTCATATTTATGACAGTCACAGTGTCCCAGGGTCATGTGAAGTGACCAAAACCTGCTGCAACTACCCAGCAGACGGGGGGAATAAAAGCCAAACATCCCCACCCCACCCCCGCTGCCAATCATCCTCAACAGAAATGCTCACAACAATGAAAACCTCGGACAGGAGGAAGAGCACCACCGGGTGGGCAGGCAGGTGTCTTGCTTGGCTGTGCCTTGGGGGGGCACTTTTTTCAGTGCCATTGTAACTTCAAACAGTCACTAAGTGAACTGTTGTAAGTCGAAGATTACCTGTACTTTATTACTTTTTTCCTTTTGGGGGGGGTCATCAAGTTTTTGACACCTTGCTGGTGGTACTTGGATGTTGCCATATCCTAAAAGTGGTACAATGGGTGAAAAGGTTGAAAAGCCCTGGTCTAGTCCAACCCCCTACTCAAGCAGGAAACCCTATATTTGTTTTGGGGCAAACGGCAATCCCATCTCTTCTTAAAAACCTCTAGTGATAAAGCACCCAAAAGACAAATTATTTCATGGGCTGGGTCTATTTCACATTAAAATTCTAAAGCTGAGTTAACTACACCCAATTGGGATGTTTACATAGCTGTGGCCAAGAAAGGCTAGATGGTGACTTAATTCAAGAGTGGGCAACATTCACAGGACCACATGCTGCAACTTAGTCTCCTGATTTTCAAGGGTCAAAGGGGGTCATCCCTTTTAGCCTGATTTTTTTTGGATTTAGCAAGTGACTAAGAATGAAGACAGAAACAGGAAGCTTCCCAGAAAAAAAAACCCTATTCCCTTTCCCATCATTATCCTCCCTTAAAGGACAAAAATATTCATCAGTCAGATTCAGATATGTTGCTAGACAATTCCAGCAACCTGATCTTGGGCATTAGGGAGATGCAACTCAAATGTTGGGAGACTATGCATATCACATAGGTCAGTGATGGTGAACCTTTTAGAGACCGAGTGCCCAAGCTGCAACCCAAAACCCACTTATGCATCGTCGGGTGCTGGGTGGGTGTGGCCCATTGGCTGGGTGTGGCCCATTGGGTGGGCGTGGCTGTAGTGGTAACAGCAGACTGGGTGGGACTAAAAAGTTCAATCAATCAATTCCAACTTTGCAAGATCTTTTTTTTTCCCGTGAGAAGTTGAAATTGACTCATTGATTGAACCTTTTTTTTTTTTGCACATGGCCACAGACGCCTAAAGTGAAAAGGTTTTATAAAACCCAGCTGAAGGCCTAGGACTGGGGCAACGGCGCGCGTGCCCACAGAGAGGGCTCTGAGTGCCGCCTCTGGCACCCGTGGCATAGGTTTGCCACCACTGACATAGGTTGTCCTCCTGTAGCTTAACTTGATGGCTTTGTTAAGATAAAGGACTGCCTCCCGTAACATGTTGAACTGCAAACTATCGAACCCTATTATTTTCACCTAGTCTAGCATGTTGTATGAATCAGGACACCAAATGGGGTTGATATCAAATGCAGGTTTTTATGCCATTCTCCTTGGGAACCACAACTGGATTGATATTTGCTAATAACATGTTTTTAGCAATTTTGCAAAAGCTATGCATATTCATGTCAAGAATGGCTGTATCCCAGAGCCTTGAAACAGAACAAGAATCAAACACATATGAAGCAACAGGGTTACACGTTCTACTTTCCTGAAAAGTAGAGAATATTATTAGAACTATTGCTTTTGGAGAATGGCCTCACCAAACCTAGAGAATATAATACTGCCAATCATATCACATCTATCTTTTGTTGTTTTACCAATATACGTTTGTGCACTTCCAATATCTCTGATGTTCACAAGAGGACACTGAACTAAGGTGAAGATTATTTTATTTTATTTTATAATCTCAAATAGGTGTCTCTGGGCATCCTACAATTCTATAATATTAAAAATGTCACTTCTTGCTAATATACAGAACCTCCCAAAAATGATCAGAAGGAATAAACAAATCATATATCT